AGAGAGGCCCACGAACGTGCCGTGAGCGCTGGGCCTCAGGGATTGTGCGCAGGTGCTGCACAACCTGACGCCAGGCCTGTCGCACTCCAGGCCTGAGCTCAGGGAAATCCCTCCGCGTAGTCAGCCACTGGTCGACGCAAGCCGTGGGCATCTGAATGGCAGGGTCAGCGTTCCCCGCTCGGAGGGCGATCAGGCTGGTTAGGCGCCGCCCCCTCGTGGGAGCTACCAGCGCGAAACCCAGGCGCCTCCGAATGTCCATCATCTTGCTGCCGAACGTCCCGTACACCTGGTGGCCGTAGACTCCAGCGGCCTGAGCACCTTGGCGCTCGAGGCGCCCACTCGTCTGGTACTTCCTGCCTCCCCCCACCCGCGAGGTCGACGCCGAGGTGCGCCGCCTGGAGCTTCGGGAGGATGGTGAAGCCTGCCCTCTTGATCCTGGCCGCGATCCACTTAGCGTCCTGGTGATGCGTGCAGGTGGCCACGGACTTCGGGGATACAGCAGGCTTCTTGGCGCGGAGCTCGGTGCAGGTGTCGATGATGCAAGACGCGAGCTGCCGCCGCACTGCCGACCTTGACCCACGTGCACCCTGCGAGGGATCGTCAATCCAGATGCGGTGGCTCACCCGCGGGTGAGCCACCGTGCTTGTAGACAGCACGTGGTGCGTCATGGCCTTGCCGAAGCGCGTGCCAGAGCGCAGCCCCTGCACCACGCTGCGCGTCGTCTGAAAGGCCCGCGACGTGGCGCCCAACTGGCCCACCGCGCGCGGTGCCACGCACTGCTGCAACTCTAGGTTCAACATTGTCGGTGGAAAAGACAAGTTAAGCGAACCTAACACAAGTCCAGGCCACTCGATGGAATCGTAGAAAGACTTGAGGTCCACGAGGCCCTCCCCGCACGCGATGCCCAAGTGGTGTGGGGCCTCTTGCTGGAGGGCCCTCACGAAGGCCTCGCGCAAACTGCAGTTCCCGCGGACTGCGGCGTCCCAGGAGCAGCCGTCCCATCATGGACACGAGCCCGATGATGCGGTCGCCCGTGATATTCTTGGGCAGCATGCGCCCCACGATCAAGAGGATCTGAGCAGGCCACACGAGGTGAAGCTTGCATGCCTCGAACAACATCGCAAGCACCGCCAGCGCCGCGTCGGGGAGACGCTCGAAGCCCCCTGGCGAGAGCATATCTATGCCAAGCCCTGCTCGGGGACGCATCTGCCGCAAAGCACCTCGTATGTCACTGACTGAAATCGGCGGCAGCAGATCATCCTGGGCGGCCTCTCGGACCTGCTGAAAGGTTCGCTGCACCAACTCCTCATCCAACTGCTGCGGGGCCCACCAGTCGTGCCAGGACGCCTTGATATCTATAACGTCTTTAGGGTGGTAAATGACCTCCCCTGCATGCTCGAGCTCCTGTGCTGGAAGGTTCTGCGGTTCCAACGAGCGATGAAGCGTGCCGATCGAGTCCGACTCACCCATGAAATCCCGAACTTCGCGTATCGACTCTGTTACCGCACGTCTCTGCGCACGGCCCATCACCCTCATGGGCAGAAAAACGTACTGCTCGAGCTCCTTTAACGGGACGTCTCCAGCCGCCCGAACAACCCGCTGCCATTCTGCCCATGGGGGGTCCTTGTCATGAATAAGAGCACGCTGAATGTCTTCTGGCCAAGTATCCAGATGACGAGCACATGCTGCGATATATCGGGCTACCTGCCGCGGGCCATTCCGCTTGTCCCGATGCAGATGCAGCGCCGAAAGTAGTGTGTGCAACTGAGTCCACCAGCTGCTCACCTGATTCCGCATGGCTGCCACGCGAGCTTTGCCAGGCATCTTGACCGTGGTGACTCTGGAACGCGGTCCCTCCGCCCTGCGCGGGCCCGGTGGAATCGCAACTCCATGATGCGTAGTGATGCTGGATTCGACGGCTGACACCCAGGAGGCGTAAAGACCTGATGTAGGAGACGAAATCGGACTTGAGCCCAACGGCTACGGAACGACGCAGAGCAGGAGCGAGGGGCGGAAGCGTGTACGCACCAGGTCTGAACCCGACCTCTCTCCGACACCGCTCCCACAGCTCAGGAGGAATTGCACAGGTCGGGGCTCCTCCACAGACTGCTACACCGGGGTCCGAGGTCAGGTCTCCAACCCTCTGGGGATCCAGGGTCTGCGCCTGAGATGAGCCTGAGGTTGGAGCAGCGGCCGAGCTCGGCGGCACAACCCTCGCCCCCGTCGGCTACCCCAGACGAGCTATCCCCAGACTGCCAGGACCTAGACTTAGGTTCAAAGCTGGGCGAATCATCAACAAAACAACCTAAATTTATCTGAAGGCCCTCGGGGGGCTGGGGAGCAAAATTGGACTCTTCGGCCCACGGGTCCTCCTCCTCCTCGGGCCATTCAGAATAATCTAAATCAGCGACGTGCTCCCTAGACTCTACAGGGGGGGTGTCCTGGTCCCCAGACCCCTCTCCCTCAGAGTGCGCACAAGATGATTGATGAGCACAATCACCGAACAGGGATGCAAATTTCTCAGCGCGCTCATCGACTGCAATCTGATGCTTTACCTGGCGCTGAGTGTTAGCCAAATTCGATTTCGAACCGATCGTGGTCTCAGTGGATGGCCTAGGGACTTGCGGCGATCTACCAGGTGCCTCGAGAACTCTAGTGATCAACTGTTCACCTGCACTACGAAGGGTGAGCTCAAGACCTATGTGGGGTTTCCACGGGACAGAGAGGACAGGAGTACCAGAGCGCAGAACATAATCAATGACCGTACCCGTGCCAAGATTACATGTCGCAGTATCACTTGCTGTGACTATGGTACCGTGCAATCTGCCTGGGATGCCTGACCGAGCGAGATTTAGTGGCGAAATGTTGAAGTCGCCAATCACAATCCATGGCAACTGAAGCGACCAGAGCAAGCCTGCGAGTCGCTGATATCTGCCAGCGTTCAGGCCTCTCACTCCCACTCCGTTGTGCGCATAGAACGACGCGATGACCAGCGAGAACCCAGAGAAGTGCGCCGTCACTGCAACGAACCCGTCGAGCACGTTCCGGTGCTGCGGCGCCTGCAGCTTGGACGCCGCCATCTAGGAAGCTGCAAGTCGAGCGACTTGGAAGTGACCCCTTGACGCGATCCACTCGCCGCCCTCGCTGGCAAACTCGGCTTGGACTTTCGCTGAGCGACGGGCTGGATCGGCATGCAGGCGTGGCCCTTTCCCTCGGTCCTTGCCGCCGTACTTGCGAAGAGACTGCTCATAATGAATCTGCGTTTAGACAATGCTGAAAAAGTCGTGAGGTTGCCCAGCCAACCACGTCCACGCTTTTTCTCCCATACATGTGACATTCCCATGGAATAATCTGGCCGTGCGACCCCCTCCGTCGGCGCAGCTGCCGACTCTTGACCAGGCTCGGAACCTAGTCGCTCATCGTTCGTGCCGTCGGCCGCCTGCATGGTGGGTCGCCGATGCTCTTGCCGTTGCTCTTGCCCTGCTTCGCCCGCATGGCCTGGAACTTGGCGTCCGACAGCCTCTGGGCCTCGGCCTGGACCGCCTCGGCGGCGGCCGCCTCCCCTCGGCCGTCGGCTGAGGGAGGCGTGCCGCGGTCGCGGTCCCCGTCCCGAGACGCGCCGACGTCCGCGGCGCCGTCGCCAGGGGCCTCGGCAGGGGGGGGCCCGCCGCGGACGGCTCGGCAGCGGCCTGGCCGTCGACGGCCTTCCTCTTCTTGGCCGCCCTCTCCTCGATCTCGGCCTGCAACCTCTGCGCCTGGGCGAGGCAAGCCTGGACCTCCTGCTCCTTGGAGGCGAGGTCGCTGGCTGTCGCGTCCAGGTCCTTCTTCAACTGCTGCAGCACCGTCTTCTCGTGGGCCTCGCACTCCACTGTGTCGACCCTGGCGAAAAACTCCTTATCGTACAGAACCTGGAAGATCTTGCCGCCGTCGGTCGCCGCGCCCGTGACCTTCGCCGCCGCCACGCCCTCCGCATGAGCGAGGGCCTGGGCCGCTGCAGTCCTCGCCTTCAGCGCCTGCGCGACTTCGACGGCGGCCTTGGCCTCCTTGGCCTCCGCCAACTCGAGCTGCTTGCGCACCTTCAAAACGTGAGCGACCTGCTGACCGTGTCGATGATCTGCGTCCTTCCAGACGCCGTCCGCCCGCCTCAAGGCTTCCACTGGTGTGATCGCCTTCGCGGCCGTGGCCTCCTCGAGCCTCTTGACCTGCTGCTGCAAGCTGGCCTGGAGAACGGGGTCGGCTGTGGACTCCAAGGCCTGCTTGAGCAAGTCTGCCGTGGTGGAGGACTTCTCCGTGCTGCGGTTCCTGCCCTTCCTGCCCCGCGGCCTGGACTGGCAGCGCGCAAGATGCCACGGGGGTGGCGCAACTGATGCTCTTCACTGGTCTCATCCTCGAACGTGAACCGCCGCGGGGACGAGCTCCGCTGGTCGGACAGAATGACCTTCTGGCTTCACCCTGGGCATATCTGATTATGCTTGTTGGTCAACAGATCATTGTACTTGCAGCGCTGGCAGTTCTGGCACCTGGTCCAGAGCCTGCGGGGCGTCGACTTGCCCGCATCTGGCATGGCTACGGTGTCCTCTGAAATTTGTCTCTGCTTTAGTCGAGGCTGAAGCACACATGGATGGGGCTGGTTGTGCTTAGCCTAGTTCCTCGAGTGCCACGAGACGGCACAGAGACTGGAGCGCGTTAGCTGAACTAGCTCGGGCCCCAATGTTACTTGAGAGGAGGAGGAGGAGGAGAAGGAGGAGGAGGAGGAGGATGATGATGATGAGGAGGAGGAGGAGGATGAGGAGGAGGAGGAGGAGTGGGCGGGGGAGGGGGAGGGGCCGGGGGCGGGGGCGGGGGGCGGGGGAGGGGGAAGGGGAGGGGGAGGGAAGGGAGAGGAGGGGGAGGAGGAGGAAGAGGAGGAGGGGGAGGAGGAGGAGGAGGATGGAGGAGGAGGAGGAGGAGGAGGATGAGGAGGAGGAGGAGCCCTGGAGTGGGACCGGGGCGGCGGGCAGGGGCCGGCCGCGGCGGCCTTCCCCGTGGCCGGCTCGCGGGACCTGGGAGCGCTCCTGGGGGCCTGCGGGTCCGGGATGTGTGTCGCGCATCAGGGTGGCTAGGTTCGGACGGGGCTAGGACGAGGATGAATCCGTTCCAGAGCGTTCCAGAACGCTTTCAGAGCGTTCCGAAACGCTCTGAGAAGGCCGCGGCGCCCGAGACATCTTCCAGAGCCGCCTGGTCTCAGAGATTCTCGACTTATCCTCACCCGATTATATCCTCGTCTTGGCTTCGTCTTTTTTGGTCGCTCATTGTTCGTCGGCCGCCGTCGCTGACAGTTCGTCGTCCGCGCTCTCGCTGCGCTTCAGGGCAGCTAGTTTGGGGAAGCCAACAGGTATCGATACCACTACTCCCCGGACCTCTCCCGGGGTGCGTTCTGACTAGAATTCGAGGCGAATTTAGCGGTGGAGATGAGGGTCTCCCAAGAGGCCCGAAAGGGTGAAACGTGGCAAGGGTGGCAGTATCGGTACCTTTTCTCAAGGGAGGAAAAACCACCCGGACCCGATCATTGGCGTTTACTCAACGGCCCTGGGCGTTTACTAAACAGCCCTGCCCGATTCGATTCCTTATGCATTATGTGGGTGCTTTTGCTAAACGGCTTCTCGTGTCGGGGTGATTATTATACGGGGGGGATGTTCTGCCCGCTATTCTCCGAGCGAGGTCGCTGATCGTTCGTCGGCCGCCGTCGCTGGCCGTCGGTGGCCGCGGTCTGCGCCAGGGCGCCGCGGTCTGATGCGGGGCGTCTGCCCCCTCTCCTCTGGGGGCGCGGCGCGAGGGCGCGGGGGGCGCGAGGAGGACCGCGCGCCGCGGGGGCGCGGGGCGCGAAGCTATGGGTGGGCTAGTGACAATCTCGGGCCGGGCGAAAGGGGGGGATTGGGAAAGGGGGGGTTACGAAATTTGCTGCATGCAGCTGGTGTCGGCTTCACCGAGGGGCCCATTCCTCGATACATGGCCGCCTCCGGCGCCGGGAGGCGCCGGGGAAATCAGCTACGTGAGCTGATTCTCAAACCCCGCCTTTGTTATCCCCCCCTTTCGCCCGACCCGACAATCCACAGGAAGGACGGGCACCCTTTCCGAGGGCACCCTTGGCGTCCGTGGATGTTTGTCGGCAGTGCGCCGCTAGAAGAGCTTCAGCTGGGGCGTGCAAACGACCGTCCAATAATAGAGGGTCCTGCGTCCTTGCAGCGCGTCCGTACTACGGATCTTGAATGTATAGCAGGTCGCTGGTCGTCAGCGTGGGCCGTGGGCTGCCCAGACATGCGACGTCGTCATTTTTTCAGGACGGGGTCCCTGGAAGTCCCGACCCTTTCCCGGGGACCGGAGTCTCATCCCGAGTCGTTTTTTGACGGCCACGAGGCCCGGCGAGGGCCCCCCGAGGCCGATATGTTGGCCAAACGCCTCCCGCCCTGCATTTTTCACGGCGCGGCCCTGTCTGGGTGCAGCAGGTCGCTGGTCGCCGGCGTGGGCTCCGTGGCGGTCGCTCTGCGGCCGGCGGGGGGCTCCCCCCGGGGGGCGGCGGCGGCGGCGGCGCGTCCGCGGCGAGGAGCCCGCGGAGCGCGAGGGCGGCGAGGAGCCCGCGGCCGCCGCCGAGGCCCAGGGCGAGGCGGGCGGAGAGGCGCGCGGCCCGCCGCGGCCTCTCTCGCCAGGCGGGGCTCTCCGGGGATCTAGCTGTTGGGGTCTGTGCCAGTGCCAAGACTCACCACCCACCAAACCACCCCAACCCAACCCGAAGGCTCAGATTTACCCTCGATTTTCCAGTTGGGGGGGGGGTCGGGGAACATAGAAAAAACACATGTGGAACCCTTACCCCCCCCAACCCGAAATTCGGGTCTTCGGGTTGGGTTGGGGTGGTCTGGTAGGTAGTCGAAGACAGGATCGCGCCGCAGAAAAAACAATGAGCACGGGAGGTTTTTGGTCGATCTCGGCCTCGGGGGGCCCTCGCCGGGCCTCGGGGCCGTCCACAAGCGGCTCGGGACGAAGAGCCGGTCCGGGGGGAGGGGCCGGGACTTCCAGGGACCCCGTGCCGAAAAGCATTGGACGTCGCATGCCTGGGTTTTTGTGTCTGTGAGGGAGGAGGAGGAGGAGGAGGAGGAGGAGGAGGAGGAGGAGGAGGAGGAGGAGGAGGAGGAGGAGGAGGAGGAGGAGGAAGGAGGAGGAGGGGGGAAAAGGAGGGAGGGAGGGAGGGCCAATGATCTTCCTCCCCGAGCAGGGCTCGACGTCGGCGCTGCCACCAAAGCCCGCCGAGCGAGCGCGAGCCGCGCCGCCCCACAGAGGGGCAGGCGGAGGCTCTGCCGACGTCGGGGGGCGCCGCGCCGTGGTGGGGCTCGGCCGATTTCCTGGCGCGCGCAGCATGGCGGCGCGCACAAGTCGCCATGGGGGAGACAGGGAGACAGGGAGGAGGAGGAGGTAGGAGGAGGAGGAGGAGGAGGAGGAGGAGGAGGAGGAGGAGGAGGAGGAGGAGGAGGAGGAGGAGGAGGAGGAGGAGGAGGAGGAGGAGGAGAGGAGGAGGAGGAGGAGGAGGAGGAGGAGGAGGAGGAGGAGGAGGAGAGGAGGAGGAGGAGGAGGAGGAGGAGGCGAGGAGGAGGAGGAGGAGGAGGAGGAGGAGGAGGAGGTGGAGGAGGAGGAGGAGGAGGAGGAGGAGGAGGAGGAGGAGGGGAGGAGGAGGAGGAGGAGGAGGAGGAGGAGGAGGAGGAGGAGGAGGAGGAGGAGGAGGAGGAGGAGGAGGAGGAGGAGGAGGAGGAGGAGGATGAGGAGGAGGAGGAGGAGGAGGAGGAGGAGGAGGAGTCCTGAGGGAAGCGGGTGCTGAGCTTTTTCGCTGGCCTTGGCTTCCCTGGGCCCTCCGTTGGACCAGGGGTTGTCAGAGAGAACGACTCAGGATGAAGAGCTGGTCTTGTGGGAGGCCCCAGGGCCCAGGACCCGTTTCCACATGATCTTGCGGTAAAATATCTGGGCGGGAGGGTTTTTTGCCAATTCTGGCCTCGGGGGGCCCTCGCCGGGCCTCGGGATCGTCGTAGAACGACTCGGGATGAAAAGCCGGTCCCGGGGAAAGGGTCGGGACTTTCAGGGACACCGTATTCAAAAATCATGTCGAATGTTTTGGGTTTCCCTCAGGACCCGTTCTTCCCCATGCTGCGCCTTTGGCGGCAGGCACGTCAGACGAGAAGTCGGCCCGCCAGCAGGCGGCCAGACGGAGCTTCTTGTCGCTTCGCCTTGGGGCCGGCTGTGGGGGTCTGAGGTGGCCCCACACTGGTTCCGGCCAGCATGAGGGGGGCGCGAGGTTCGAGGTTCCGGGTTCTGGGTTCAAGGTCTGTTGCCTTTGTCGGGGGGCGCAGCTTCGAGGTGCAAGGTTCTTCTGTCGTTTACGACCGTCAGAAGCGGATCTGGCGAAAAATTGCACCACTTGGACCGCGAGAGGTGTCTGGGGACCGAGTTTGAACGGATTTGGCTTCATCCCCCTGCTGGCCGATCGTCCGGGGCCCCAACCAGTTTAGGCCCTATGGCCGCCTCCAGCTTCGCTTATCCCCACCAGCCCATCCAAACACTATGCCCAGGCGAGTCTTGCCTTGATCAGGGAAGTTGGGGGATGTGAGGGGGCATGCAGTGGGAGCAGTGACACACCCCTTCCCGAAGGGGAAAAACTGGGGTTGGAAGAGGGAGCGCGCCAAACCATTCGCGCACGGAGGGCTGGTGGGATTTCTCATCCCTGGATAGCCCCAGGGACCCACAGAAGCTCTGATCGACGAAGAATGTGCCCCAGGATTTTTTCCTGTAGCAAGACCGCCCATCGTACGTGTCCTCTCTGGCCCCCCCGCGTGGGGCCTGGCTGATAGGGTCAGCGGCTGGCGCCGCGTCGCGGGTGCATCGGGGATGCAGCTCGACGTGGAGCCCGACTTCCTCCACGCCAGCGTCGCCGACGCATCGCCGACGTCGCCGACGCATCGGCGATGCATCGGCGATGCTTCGGCGATGCAGTGCGATCCTTCGGCCCCAACTACTCGGACCCCATTTGGGAGGCCTTCAGTCTCGCCGTCGTCGATCGTCGGCCTTTGTCGGTCGTCGTCGAGGTCCGAGTGTTCGAACGTTCGAGTGTCGAAGATCGTTGTCCAATACTTCTGCAAGTTTCTGTTAGCTTTTGGGGCAGAAGGGTGCCCCCGTGGCCATGGCTGAACCCGCCTCGACATCCTGGTCAGCACGCGCCCAAGGACAGGTCCGCGGGTTGTCGTCGGCCGAGGTTCGAGGATCGAGGGTCGGAGGTTTGAGGACCGGCCTTTGTTGGGTGCTTCGAGTGGGGGCCTCCTCGGGGCCTCTGGGGGCGGCTCTCGTCGCAACGGACGGGTCCGCCTCAAAATCCTTGACGGCCCGCGCTCTGGGACACGTCCTGGAGCCCTTTCTGGAGGTCGTGGGTCATCGGTCGTCGTCGTCGGTCGTGGTCGGTCGCGGGTCGTGGGTCCTCGGTCGTCGGTCGTCGGTCGTCGGTCGTCGTTGTCGTCGTCGTCGTCGTCGTTGTCGTCGTTGTCGTCGTGGTCGTCGTTGTCGTCGTCGTCGTCGACGTCGTCGTCGTCGTCGTCGTCGTCGTCGTCCGTCGTCTTCCGTGGTCGTCGGTCCTCTGTCGTCGGTCCTCCGTCATTCGTGGTCGTCGTCGTCGGTCGTCGGCTGCCGTCCATCGACGAGCTCTGCTGGCGGAGGCGGCGCGAGATCGGCTCGGTCTCGTCGGCCTCTTCGGCCGCCTCCTCCTCTGCTCGTGGAGGTCCTGCCTCCTCTCGCAGGACGGGGAGGGATGCGGCGAAGGAGCAGGACGAGGCGGAGGTGCGTCGTCGAGCGTCCCATCGGCAAGACACGTATTCATAGCACTAACCATGTGCGGTGTTTGTGTGCATTTGCGACACCTGAGGCTGCAGCAGGGGATTCATGAGCAATCCGCGTGCAATACAGAGTGCGCAGCGGGAGTTTGCACCGTGGGCGGCCAGCTGTTTTCCACTGGTGTCGTACAGCCCCGCGTGAATGAAACGGGAGAGCCTAACCTATATTGGTGTTTTTGAAGGGAAGCCGGTCGAACCGGTCGTCTCTACCGACCACATCAAGCATGCTATGAGTGCATTTTTCGTCCCCGGTTGGGCGCTCCATAGGCACCTGCAAAACATCTTAACTTGTTCCTGCTCCTACCAGAAATCAGAAGATATAGATTAGGAGGGGCGTGGGTGATTCGAAGCACTCAACGGTGAGATCTTTTCTTGTGTGGCCCGATTTGCTGACATCGCTGTCAGCAGCTTCATCTCGGCGCTCTAGAGGCGAGCAGGGCATGAGTAGCAGCGGGTGCGGCGCGTTTCAGGAAGATTTGGTGGTAGGCGAAGTTTGAGCCCGACGCCATCGGTCTTCATGTTGGGATCAGCGCCTGGGACACACCTTGGTCAGCGAAATGCGGAAGATGAAGTTGGGTCCAGACGCAGCCAGCTACAGGCTTCCGACTGTCGCCCTGTTGCGATGCGACGATATTGCAGACAAGGCGCAGATCAGTGCGTCGGAGACAGACATGCGGTCGCAACCTATTTCCTTGTTGTTCACCGAGATGCGGGAGGTGCCGTTCGAGTCTGACGCCATCAGCCACAGTACTTCGATCTCCGCCCTGTCCAGGGGACACGCAAGTCCAGTCTTCCTCGTCCTCTTGCTCCTCTTCTTCTTCTTCTTCGTCTTCTTCTTCTTCTTCTTCTTCTTCTTTTTTTTTCCATCCTCAGCGCAGAGATGGAGGAGGAGAGGGCAGAGGAGAGGGCGGAGGACGAGAAAGGAGGAGGAGGAGGAAGAGGAGGATGAGGAGGACGAGGGAGGACGAGGAGGAGGAGGACCTGTGCAAACCCAAGATGCACCAACGATGTTGCGAATTTCCTCTTGATAACTGGGTCCAGACACGAACATGTTAACATTGCGCGAAGAGCCCCGTCAGAAGACAGCCGTCTGAGTCTTCAATCGTGCCAAACATTCCTGGGACTTCGACTTCAGCGCTGCGAACCAAGGTGACTACTGTGTCCTGACAGTCCTACATCGTGCCAGAACACCATGCCTCTGACTTCAACTCCGCGTGACTGTTGCGTTCTGACTTTCCCGCGTGGGATTTCAACACCGCGAATCAATGTGACTGGTGCGTCCTGGCAGTCCTAAATCGTGCCAGCCATTCCAGGAACTCCAACTACTCGAATAGTTTATACACTGCTGCCGGCTTTCAGAAGGAATGTGCGCGGCGCTAAGGCGAGAACCACATTTCTAACATCACCCGACCTCCATCCGTGAAGCTGTTGCAACTTTCAAGCTGCAGGGTCATACATGGTGTGGAAATCGGGGCGAAACGCTTGGCCCGCTACTGACACGTCTGGGGGTGCAACAGGAAGGAGTTGTTCTATTCATAAGCCGGAGGGGTGGAGGTGAACAATAAGAGGGAGGGAGGGAGCAGCGAGAGGAGACGCGAACACAAGAGAATGGAGGAGAGGACCTCCGAGAGGAAAGGGACTATGAGGAGGACGGAGGAGGAGGAGGAGGGAGTAGGAGGAGGAGGAGGAGGAGGAGGAGGAGGAGGAGGAGGAGGAGTCTTTTTCTCTCTCTCTCTCTCTCTCGCTTCCATTCAGG